AGGTTGTTAGAGCCTCTTCATTCGATAGTAGGAGATTGGTTATACGAGAGTTAGCTAGTTTACTGCTTTGTACTGGAATTCAATTCCAGTAGTGGAGTTCTGTGCTTATTGCTTCAGCTTTCTATCCCGGTGAAGACTAGTCGTCTGCCGGGTAGTTAGACTGAGAGGGCTTGGTCAGCTTAAGAGATTCCAAGCTACTGTCGGATCTTCCGCAGTCTGATCAACAGTAAATCAACCCAGGGAAATTACAATTGAACCTAACTAAGGGGCTAGGGGGACTCATTCCCGAGTGACTCTTACCTGCTTGAGAAAACCGAATAATTTCCTGCTTTCTTACTGCTTTTAGTTTAAACAAAAATCACTCGACTTAGTTGGCTAGATAATAGACAATCACGGAGTAAGCAGTAGATCTAGACCCCGGGTTGATAATAGAACTTGCCTGTTACTGCATTCCCGGACTGCGATTACACTTGGTCGCAGTTTGGTGTTGTGTTTTGGCGTGTCACTCTTCGTCCACGATTCATTTGTCCTCTGATCACTATTTGTCATGATGTCGACTCGAGACTAGCGTTCTCGCCGAAGAAGCTATGAGATGACTTGTGCATCGGTTGACCTCGTAAGCTGCTAAATGATCTAGAAAATCCTCTATCAACGATCAAGGGTGCGTGTTGCTATAGAGTTCTGGAGAGCTGCATTGGTTTGAGTTAAGTTTGCTTGGGGACAAGCAAAAGTTTAAGTGTGGGGGAATTTGATGACTCGATATTTGCACATGTTTTCCCCTTTGTTTCTTGATCGTTTGAGCTTTAATTATCTCTTCTTTGGCCTATTTTATGCTAGGTTGTGTTCCTTTGTCACATTTCAGGTCCTAGCACATAAAGTGAAGCATAGGCGCAAGTTTCAAGTCAATCAGAGATCAATTGGCGATTGGGGAGAAGAAACTCGGGCATGACCTGAAGAAGAATAGATTTCTACCTCACTTTATGGACAAAGAATCATGCAAGCTTCTCATGAAAAGAAAGAGGACGAGACTACGAGCGTCTGGGATCAAATGGTGACTGATTCGGAGTCCGGAAGAGGGAGAAACGAAGTATTAAATATAGGGGAACAGGTTCGGCAGTAAAAACACGGGCGCGCCTAAATCAAAACACGGCCGTGCCCATATTTAGGCACGACCGTATTTTGGCCGACGCGCGCGGGCGTGTTTTTAACACGGGACAAAACACGGGCAGGCAAAAGCAAAACACGGTCGTGCCCTCGACCGTGTTTTGCGCAGAATCGGATTTTTTAACCCAAATTCGAGCCAAAGGAGAGGGAGAGCTGGGTTTTTGGATCCCAAACACCCAAGGGACAAACCAAAGAGAGAGAGGGCGATTTGAGGGCATTCTTGGAGTGGAATTGGAGGATTTCTTCGCTTTGGAAGCTCGAGGAACAAGCCCGGACTTGAAGACTGATCATCTGAAGATTCTTACTGCAGTCTCTCTCTTCTCTATGGAGTAACTTCACTTCACTTAGGTTTTGTGGAACCCTAGCCATGTTTGTTTGATTGGATGATTGTATGAGTACTCCTACTTGATAATCTTGAGTTCATATTCAATCTATGCATGTTTTAATGATTCAATTCTGCTTTAGTCGAGATTATTGATTCTGCTTTGATCCTATGAGAGCGAATACCTGATTAGGTCAATAGAGCACCATAGATTGATAGTAGTGGATCGATTGCTTTAGTCGAGGGTTGATTCACTTCTTTGTATCGATTGAGAACCTCTTTCGATAGAGGGATTCTAGTTTAGAATGCCTTGATCGGTTGTTCTAGAGAAGGATACGTCCCTCTAGGCAATTGACTCAAGAGGGCCTTGTTCCTTTAGTCGAGACTCAAGGTCTAGTCAAGGATTCTCCGCATTGTGAATGAAAGTGAAACAGGTTAGAAATCATCAATCATTAATCTGGCTAGTGGCTAGGGGGAATCATACCTAAGTGAGTTCCCAACCTGTAATTAGATTAACTTTAACTGTAGTTTGCTAGAGTAGTTTTAGTTCTTTCATCTTAATCTGGTTTGCTAGATAATGAACTGAAGCTGAGTAATAGTAACTCTAGAGACCCGTGGATTCGATATTTATTACTTGAGCCACTATACTGCAGTCCCTTTCATTGGTTACACTTGGCCATTGTTAGGAGTTGTGTCATAGCGAGCCAGCGGGGTACTAAACAAATTTATACTAACTACATGTAACAAAATATGCAACATTTACATAAGCAAGTGTCAATAAATTGCTACGGTGAAAAGGGTTGATTATTTTATTGACGGCCAACTAAAAGAATTGGTCAAAACCTTTCTATTATCTACTTCCTCTTCATTTCATTTTTCACTAGTCTTCCATAACCCTCTCTTTATTTCTTTCTTTGCCTTCTTCGTCTAACCCTAATTAGTATACTATTTTTATGTGTTCTAATCACAAGTATAAACAGGTCCATACACAACTGACCAACAGTCTAGAGAATTAATAATTGAATCATGAACCACCAACATTTTCAGCTCAATATCGAGTCCAATTAAAAATAAACATATATGGTTATTACTTATTAAAAATCCGTCATTTTCCACTATGGTAGGCGTGAAATTTTAAGCGAGTTCCAGTTTGTATACCTTTTGCTTCTCTTTATAGTTTTTCTTTTTCACTCGGACTAGAATTTTCAAAAATTACACATGGAATGTTTGGCTAGATATCTACATATATCAAATAAATAATTTCCTATTTTCTATAAAAAAAGTAAATAATTATCATCTTAAATACATCACCATAAAAGGAATTAAGCCTCAACTATACAAATTATAGTTCGGTGCCTAAACTTAATAGATCTTTACATTTATAACCTAAATATACTTTTTTGGCATATAAGTCCTCAAAATATTGATGGAACATTACATTTTAGTACCTCAAATTTTTGTGTATTACATTTTGGTACCTAAACTTTTGAAGTTCTACAAATTAGGGGTGTTCAAATGGTTACCATGGTTATAACCAAATCAAATAAGGCTAAATTCCATTAACCATGGAATACAATATCATAACCAAACCGTCCAAACTAATACAACAACCAAATTAACCAAAATAAAGTTTAATCGGTTTGGTTAGTTGGTTAACCAGATTAACCAATATAAAATCACATTATCATTGACGATGAAATTTTTCCGGTTAATGCAACAATTTGCAATTTATATAATGAATAAAACATAACAATCAACACGTAGTTATAGTTGACCCTTAACAAAAATACATGCAACTAAGACAATTATCTTACGATTAGCATAGAAGTATTCACCTAACCAAAATTTATGACAAAGGTATGGGTTAATGAATTGTTGTGTTTGTGTAAATTGACTTAGTCTCTTAGCAATTATCATAGGCTGGAAATGACCTTCCTTTCAAGTTTTCATTCATCATAATGTATGAAATTTATCTAAATTAGGCGTCCATATGTTGTGGTCTACATTTTACATATACAAATATACAATATATGAGCAATATTCAGCTTTATATTTTATGAGTCTAAAAGGGATGAACGTTAACTCTTGAGTTGTTATGCAAAGTATTAAGTATGTGTATATCATATATGTTAGATATATGACTAATTACTTAACTGGTTAATTTGGTTTGACTGGTTAGGAGTGTCTGAAACCAAACCAAACCACCTAAACCAAACAAGCTAAAAACTTTAACCAAACCAAACCAATTATCCAAATTAACCAAACCAAATTATCTAAATAGTACCTGTTAAAACGGTTACCATGGTAACCAAACCGTTTGAACACCCCTACTACAAATAGGTCTAATTTTTGTATGGGTAATTAAAACACCCTTGAATAAATGGGTATTCATACCCAACTCATACACATTTAGATTATAAAAGTAAATATTCATACCCTAGCCAAACTCATATGCAAGCTTCCAAACCCATATATACGTCACTCATACCCTACCTGTAATCAATGGGTCTACCTGGGTTTAGTAAATATTATTTATTAGCCAAAAATTAAAAAAAAATTTGGATGTTGACCGCCATATATATCTTCTCAGTCAATATCATATTGTCAAGTCAATATTACTAACAAAACTGCTAACAAAAAATTAATTTTAGCCTAATAATACTAACAAAACACAATAACGGACCACATAATATATGCTAATAGACCATCTCCGCCCTCCGACAAGGCGTGCATCGTCACCTAGTATGTAATGTAAAGTCATGGTGTATTTGGCATGAATAATTTAAGCACCTGGACTGAGGTTTACTTCCCACTCCAAAGTGATAATCGTTAGTTGAAGCTAATCCTGACTTCAAAAATAAAGAGTGGTGTATAATTATCTAATATAATTATTATTAATTTTTCACGTTTTGGTGGATGAATTTTCACTAAAATTGCACACCAATACTTTATAAACCACTATTCAAAATAAACAAAGCATAGGAAACCTCTACTAAAATATAAGTAAAGATAAAAAAAAAATTTGAAACATCAAAATAAGATGACAAACATTGCAAAAGGAAAATCATAGGCATGTTATTATAGACTTATATAAGAGTTCATATTGACAGATTAAGAGTTATGACTTGATTTATAACATTTATTGCTTATGTAAATGGCTAAACATCATTTATAAAGTCTTGAGTGCCAAAATGATATTTCAAGCCCATCATGGATTTTAGTGTATGAGTACGACAACTAAGGTTTCCCTTAATATGGTCATCCATAATTGACCTACATTCAATCCCAACACACTTACCTACACTCAAAAAACTCTTCATCTTTTGACAATCAACCAACTCAAAAAAAAAAAAAAATTACCCTGAACCATTCCTGGCTCGTTGGCTCTTAATTACTGCGGCCTATATATATATAAAACTCCTCCCCTCCCTTCTCACAATGCCACACACTCCCACAAGTTTCACTATAACTCGAAAGAATCCAGCTAGCTAGTTAGTCAACAATAGCGTCATACCATTTCCATAACTAATGGCCGCTGCTGCGAAGTTGGTTTTGCTGCTGACATTAGTCACATGGGCCATGATAGCTGCACCTTATATGACGGCGACCGTGGCCGAGAGCGCCATAACTTGCGGCCAGGTGGTTGGCAGCCTAATTCCATGTATCGATTACTTGCAAAATGGTGGTGACGTTCCTTCGGCTTGCTGCAATGGAGTGAGGTCGCTCAATGACGCTGCGGAGACCACTGACGACCGCCAGAAGGCTTGCAGTTGCTTGAAATCGACGGCTAATACCTACCCCAAAGCGAAGGAATCCTTTGCTGCAGCCCTTCCCGATGCCTGTGGAGTCGACATTCACATTCCTTACAAGATCAGCAGGGACATCGACTGCAAATCGTAATTGATTGATATATATTCTCTAATACAAATCTAAATCCAACGTTTCCTCTAACCATTAATCATCTTTAGTGATAATTGAATTGATTGGAAACCAATTAATGTTTGTTCTCTTTGTTGTTTTACTTGTCGCTGTGGCAGTATCGAGTGAAGAAACATGCAAAGGAGGGAACGGGAGCTACGGAAGTGATCAGGAGGCGATGTCATGTGTGAGAGGGATATGATAATGATGATGATAATAATGATGATATTAATAATAATAATAATATCAAAAGAATAATATGTGTTGGTCATTTAATGGATATGATAATGATGATGATAATAATGATGATATTATTAATAATATCAAAAGAATAATATGTGTTGGTTCATTTGATGGACCTATATAGTATATATACTCCTATTGCCATGCCCATGTTTATGATATTCTATATGTGGACTATATAAAATGACAAGTGGTGTTTATGATACCTCCATTTTTAATGAATTTGAGGCTTTTATTAAAGCACCCACACCATAGGTGTATCAACAAGATGAGAAAGTAGAGTGGAAAATAAATAAAAAATTCTCTAAGTTCTCAAACAAAATTCTCAAAAATAGACAAAATTTTATAATATATTTTCAATGTATACAAGGAGTATAATGAAGCTCACGGGGTTGCCGTAGACGTCCTCCAATATACCCATATTGGGAAACGTTTTTTTCCAACCCACAATTAATAACTGTCGAGGACTCATCAGTCAAGCGGATATCATTGCCTTTTTCTTGTTACTTTTCATCCAAATGACTTTCTGCTTAGCTCTACTACCTCCACAAAACAGGAATCGGAACTATGGTAGGAAATGTAAAATTTTTTGCTAAAAAATCAAGGATATGCCCAACAGCCACAAAGGTTTTCTCCCTTTCTTGACATATTTCTTTCCTGCAAAAAATGAATGACAGGCGAAAAAAACATAGGTAGCCCGTGCACACATAGACGAAAGGGCTTCACTATCATCAATATCGTCACTATAAGATAAATCCTTAGGCTTGTTATACATTAAGTTGTTCAGAAATAGTGTAATGAAAGGAACATAGAAGTTTGTCATTAGGTATTTGACCAAATAGGATCGTCTAGTACCTATAGAACCAAACAATAAAATACCACTAGAGAGGGATAGGGCTAAGTGGAGCGAAAAGGATTTTCCTTGAGATGGGAAATGAAAACTATTCACCCCACACGAGGTTTGTGAATAAGTGATTGTCAGATAATGAGGAAGGAATATCGGTCTTTCCGCTAAACAGGGTGTATTGAACTCATAATTCATTAGATACTTTTTATGAATATTCTCAACTAAGTGTCATAAGTAAATTGGACTATCAGCCGCTACGACTGGTAGTACTTCTCCATGTGGGTCTAAAGCCTGAATCAGACTATCAGCCGCTACGACTGGTAGTCGGGGGTACTATAAATACTTCTCATACTCCTCTGTAATCTGTAATCTCCTCGATATAGTGAAATTGACTCTCTCTCGCCCGTGGACGTAGCTAACACACATCGTGTTAGTGAACCACGTAAATCGTGTGTCGTGTTTTTGATTCTCGCTTTCGTATTCTTGCTTTGTCAATTCCAGCAATTTCCCGATCCGTAGCAGTGCGTTTATAACACTACTCATTATTCGGAGGTGAATCATAGAACACTAAAACTTGTGGTATCTTATGGACCTAACATAGGTCATATCCCTCACAACATAAGATTAAAATATTTAAACCTTCTTCTTTAGAGCGGAAACGGACATGGCCAAAACATATAAAGAAAGGTGTAGTCGCTCATAGGGACATATCTATCTGGATTGAAGATAGTGACAATCTATTCATAGATAGATTTCTATCCATATGATAGGTATCTCCGTGGATAGAGAGAAAGATAGGATCCATGACGATCTTGATTCACTATTTCAATTTTTTTCTTGATTCTGATTGATTGCCTTTTTTTTGACGACAAGTTTTAAATCTTAATGCAAGCAAGGAAATTTTCATTTCAATTATTTGGGTCGGAGCGTAGACGAGCGAGCAGAGCCCAGGAAACAGGGAAGCCCGTCATAGAGCAGTCGACTAGAAGTATAAGACTGCTGGCCTGAGAGAAGGCGGCCTCTCTCGGGAAACATGGCCAAATTTCTCTTCTTTCTTTTTTCAGGGGCCCATAACGCGTGAAAGGTGGGGGAGAAGCTTGACCTGGACACATAAAAAATTCTCGGCATCGAGAGAGATTTGAGATTCCGTAAGTAAGTCAGTGAGTGCTTTCTAAGAAGGGCTTGGCTTGGAAAAAGAAAATGAAATACGAACAACCGCGCTGGTCGTAATAGATCGACTTTCATCCTAGTTCTAGCTCAAGTATGAAAGTTCCATTTTAGGGAAGGACGACGTACCATGATACTTTCTGTTTTGTCGAGCCCTGCTTTGGTCTCTGGTTTGATGGTTGCACGTGATAAAAATTCAGTACATTCACCATTATCAAAAAAAAAAAGATAAAAATTCAGTACATTCTGTTATGTTTCCTATCCTAGTCTTTCGCGATACTTTAGGTTTACTTCTTTTGTTAGGTCTCGACGTCTCCGCTATGATGTTCCCAGTAGTTCATATAGGAGATATAGATGTTTCATTCCTATTCGTTGTTATGATGTTCCATATTCAAATAGCGGAGATTTGCGAAGAAGTCTTGCGCTATTTACCAGTTAGTGGTATTATTGGACTGATCCTTTGGTGGGAAATGTTCTTCATTTTAGATAATGAAACCATTCCATTACTACCAACCCAAAGAAATACGACCTCTCTGAGATATACGGTTTATGCCGGAAAGGTACGAAGTTGGACTAATTTGGAAACATTAGGCAATTTACTTTATACCTACTATTTCGTCTGGTTTTTGCTTCCTAGTCTTATTTTATTAGTAGCCATGATTGGGGCTATAGTACTTACTATGCATAGGACTACTAAGGTGAAAAGACAGGATATATTTCGACGAAATGCTATTGATTTTAGGAGGACTATAATGAGGAGGACGACAGACCCACTCACGATCTACTAAAAGGAAAGTAGCTTGATATTGGTTCAAATCCAATTCGTGAGAGACGGAAATCCTCGACAGAAGTCAGTCAGATAGCACGCCTAGGGGGTTCGGGATCCGGGACTGCTTCGGTCGTCACTAAAAAAGATCTCCGCGTAAAGCAAGCCAGTTCGACCATTTACAGAAAAAAAGGGTTCCTTTTTCGACAGCTTAAGAAAAAAAAATGCATCAGCTTTTCTCTACTATAGTACGAGGAGAGTTAAGTCTAGCTCGACTCACCACTTTGTGGAAAATCATTAGGTATGAATATGTTAAATACCTGTGACTCGATTGATAAAATAGTATCTCTCTGCAAAAAGGTTTTTTTACCACCGCACAAAGAAAAGATATTGAGGAATTGTCCATCTGTTAAATATCAAGAGATGAATAGTTCTGTTGCACCAAAAAATGCTTTCGGTGATGACATCTTTCGTCACGGATACAATTGGCGACAAATTCGATCATCACTAAAAAGTTCCAGGTTTTTTCATTTTTTATTTAATTTCTGACTTTTGTTCCTGTTAATTAATTACCTATCAGTGTAAGCAATTGTAAAAATGAACCCTTTCCATAATAGAATACCAGTAATATAAAAAATGTATGAGTACTTTTTTTTTATAATCAAGAGTACTTAACTTTATATATAAGTATAATACATAACAAGAACATATATAATGCATGAATTAGTACTTTTAATATTTGACTATAGTAAGAATAATTAACAATAACATATTAAATTATTAATGTTATCTGGTTTCACCACATCTTGTAAAACACACCACGGTAATACAACAAATAGTGCTTGTGTCGATGGCCATTTGTGTTTTACTCAATCCACCTCGTAAATCAACTACACATGTAAGAAACATATCAAAATTAGATACTAAAATGTAATAAAAAAATTACCTAGTACCATAATGGGAACCTCGTAGTAGCTTGTCATGTGCCCAATATTCTTGTGAGCAATCCGGTGAACTTGGAGCGCAAATCGTGAACCCAGGAGAGTGAAGCGGTGCGTTTTGGAGAAGACACTAAGTTCACGAACGCGTTTAGGTGTTCACGGCCATGAACTGGCTAACACGACCGTGAACTGGTAACTTTCGGGCAAATATGAAGACAGCAGCGTGGAGAGAGAAGGAGGGAGCTGGTTTTTGGAGAAGGAACACTTTCTTTCTCTGGGGTTTCAACCCAAAACACCAAAGGGGATTTCTAGAGAGTGAGATAGTGATTTTGGAGCTTAATTGGAGGCATTGATCAAGCTTGGAAGCAAGGAATCAAGCCTAGAAGAAGAAGAAGAACTTGAGGTTTCTTTGTAATCTCTCCTCACTCTCTCTAGAAACTCACCCTCTTCTCTTGGGTTTAAGAACCCTAGGTCTTGATTTTGGTTTGTTGTTGATGTATGTGACAAATTTCTTGTTTAATTGATGATTCTACTTGATTGATGGATGTTCACATGAATGGCATGAGTTGGGTTTCCGTTTCCATGTCTTGAGCTTTTGACCTAGGAGGTAAATAATCCCCTTAGAACCCCTTTCGAAGTCTTCGGGTTACTCTTATCGTATATTGTCCGGGTAGTCCCAGAGGGATTTTATTCGATCGGTCTCCTAGCATTATACGAAAACCTAGGTTGAATAGAGCACTACCCATCCATCAATTCATCGTTCCGGATCATTCCCGAGGGAGTCCATCTCCAAACGGTAGTGTATTTGAGTCGATCGAGCTAGGAAGATACCCAACATTGATCCAAAGAACGGCCTAGGACGATTCAACGCAAGAGAGCTCCAAACCTTGTAAATAGCTAGGTTAGTGGTTAGTATAGGTTAGTTACCTTAGTTTTATTAATCACTATCCTATGATTGGCTAGATAACGAACCCTAAACCTGAAGTAGGGTAAGCCTAGATCCCAGAGGTATGATAAATTCTTATTGCTTGCTTGCCCTATGCTACACCCAGTCGGCGGTTATACTTGGTTGTCGATTGGGATGTTGTAGTTAGAACGAGTCAATGGCATTACCACCAATGGCTTGTTTTATAATCAACTTTGAACATCCACATAGCTCTCTATAGATGCCCGCTAACAAGCTGAAACACAAATCTTAGTCCTCATCCATCATAGTCTCCAAGAAGTAGTAAAAGTTACTTACCAGTCTTGGAGGTATCGTTGTTGAATGTGTGAGAGGTTTTGGATGACTTGATTCTCATTGATTGGTATCCAACGTTAATATATAAAGGAGAGGTGAGTTTCTAGCAACAGAAAGTTGCCCAATCTCTCACGTAAGACAACAATAGGAACAAGAAAATGAATAAATAAAATAAACTAAAAATACTTTTAGTTAGGTTCTCTAATAAGCCCACGCAAGACGTTGGAGGTATCAATGACGCCGATCTTGGAGAGCAAGAGAAGATAACGAGCAGTTAGTAACGACTTGGTGAGGGCGTCGGCCAATTGATGTGACGTTGGGATGTAGGAGACCTACAGACGCCCTGCTTTAACAAGCTGCCACACGAAGTGATAGTACCAAGCGAGATGCTTCATGTGAGAGTGAAAGACTGCATTGGAGCAGAAGTATAAGGCTCCAAGGTTTTCGAAGTAGAGACGAGGAGCGGATGGGACCCGCTCGTGGAGTTCATGGAGAAGATTTTGTAACCACTCCAATTTAGCAGTGGCATGAGAAATGGAGCGGTATTCAGCTTCGGTACTGAAACGGGCTACCGTGCACTGTTTCTAAGAGCGCCAAGAGACTAAAGTAGAGCTAAAGCAAATCAAATAGCCAGAGGTGGAGGAGTGGTCATCGTGATTGCCCGCCCGGTCCAAGTCAGCAAACACAAAGAGAGATAGGGGAGTTGCCGATCGTCGAATGGAGAGGCCATAGGTGATGGTACCAGAGACATAATGGAAAAGCCGCTTGACACACTGCCAGTGATGAGCGATTTGGGCGTGCATATATTGAGATAGCTTGTTGACAGAGTAGGCAATGTTCGGTCGCGTATAGACAAGATACTGAAGAGCACCCAGAACCTGGCAAAATCGTGTAGCATCGATGGGTGGACTGCCATCAGAGAGAGTAAGGGTGTTGGACGCAGTTATGGGCATGGGCGCATGGCAACACCCTTGGCATCGATCATGAGAAAACGATTGAGAACATCCACCGTGTATTTATGTTGAGAGAGAATGTAGCCAGTAGCAGTGGGAATGACCATGATGCCCAAAAAGTAATTAAT